CAAAATCCGTATAAGTTCGCTGAAGAGTTTTCAAAAACTTTCTTTTAGGGCAAATAGATCGGCGATAGTGGTCATACTATTACTTCTAATTGTGAGGACAGGTTGGTGGTCAGTGACGCATGTGGGTAGACATGGAGGAGCTCAAGCAAGTTCGGTTGGGTTCAACTTCTGTAAAAAAACTTTCTCAAAGACGACGTCCCTCTCTGAAAATTCCGATTCAGAAGAACGAATGGCGTTATTTGAACGGCACTTCAGCTTCGGTAAGGGTACAACGTTCATAGACGATCTGAGTTTCTGCTTCGTTGTGGGCATCCTTTCCTTTGGAAGTCCACTCTAAAAGGAAGTTTACGCACATTAAATCCTCAAGGGTAATTTATTTGCTGAAAAATTTCTCACCTCTCAACTTTTGGTCTTCTATAATTTCTGCATAAAATCTCGATGAAAATTATAAATATTTACTACACTCCGTTCAAAATCCAGCTCAGGCTCAAAGGTTTTTTCCAAGTCAGCTACCCTTGCGATACGTTTTGTAGGAATCACACAGCCTCATATCTTCCCCTCATTATAAGGTTGCTGAATTCTAAGCTCAACGGAGGCTGGGAACGGATTTCAAACCTGTCCTATGTTTTCCGTAACTTGCTCGTTATTTCGTTAACTACCGAGATGTTTTTCGCCCGAAGCATCTTGAAAAATCTCAAATGTGCGAGGAATTATACATACTTATGCATGTATATGTACCAGTCCGATCGACCGGTTAACGCCAGATGAGCTTTCCTGCTTTTCGTATTCATCACTATTTATATTTATCTTAGGGCAAAGGTGGTGTCGTGGGACTTATATTAAAGTACTCTGTCATGGGGTGCAGTGCTTAAGGTACAGTTGTCCGCTACTCCACCATAATGCGTGATAACGGGTTCCGCGATGGCATAAGGACCCCCGAACTTTGAAAAGGAGCAGGCGCTAGTGGAAAACTGCAGCTTCAATAGAGAAAACCGGTATTCCCCACCTTATACTGTTCGTCGCCCCCTACAATTTGATCGCAGTTCTGTAAGTCTCGACAGGAAGGTGTGCGTCACGCCTTTGGCTGCCATTGAGCATTGCAGTCACAATTCGGCGTTATTTAGGCTATGCAAGTAGCTGACATGACCGACCAACGCTCTTGTGAATATTTTTTTTCCGATCACCAACATTACAGTACTCGGTACAGGGTAAAGGTCCGATCACGGCAGGTTATACCCATTGAAGCTCTTTGCCTCGAACCGAGGTTACGGCCTAAAAGTGCGATCATTATACTGCACTCCTTGGAGGTTGAAGGCAAAAATGTTTGGCCCGGCTTAACGGCATATTTTTGCTATTCTGGAGAAGGTGTATGGACCCACGTGGGTTGAGGGTACAGTTCACGATAATTTATGGGTAATCCAGATAATGATGAAAAATGGAAGACAATATCGAAAGTAATGCGGTGAAGGTGAAGAAAGTGCGTGAATCGGTGTTTCCAGCGTGAAAAAAGGCTTCGAAAAAGGGGGCTGGACGAGAATGAGACCAGAAAAATAAAGAAGAGTGGGGCGTTCGGACGAGCTATTCAACGTGTCTCAGTGCGTGCGTGTGGGTCCTGGTGCGAATAACAGACTATGGTAAGCAAAAATTCATTCACATGTAAGCATAAGTAAACAAAAAAACCCTAGTAACAGCAAAAGTAGTTCATCTTTTCCAGCCTCTAGGAGTAGGAAATTAAGTAAGGGATCGCGGCAGCAAAAAGAATAACAGAGGGAAAAGAATGGGAGAAAAACATCGCCTCATCACTCGGCGATCAGCTGATTGTGTGTGGGTCCTGGAACGAATAGTTGCAATCTGTATTGTCTCGACACTCGTCTAACGTGACATTGATTGAGGAGCGAGAAAGCGAATTACGGCAGCAACAGGGCTTCCACTAGAGAGCTCATTATGCAGGGCCTGACATCGATTAGATTCAGCTTCTGTAGAAAAGTTTTCCCACGAGGGTGACCTCCTCCAAATGAATCCATCCCAACGTGCACTAATACTCGTTCTTTTGCTTCACAGGCAACATGGCATCTCCTTCTTTGAATTCTCAAGTCTCGTTTGCCTTTAATTTGTTGGAGGGTCTCAGTTGTGAGAGGGACACATCACATCATCTGAAGAGCCTTCCATTATCAATTGAGGGTAAAAACCCGCGGACGATGCTAGTTCCGCTTCATCTTCGCTGTGATCTTTCCGTACAATTTTGTGCAGCTTCCTTTGGAAAAGCTGAATCTCAGCATCCCTTCTGGCACATTTACCAGCTTTTGTCATTGAATAGCCACGTAGCAGAAGCAGAGGTACAGGGCAGTTTCTAAAATACCGAATAAAATTTATTGATTAATCCTCGAAGAAAGGTAATCATTAAAGTAAAACATCCATTAAAACGCCCGTGATTTCCAAGATTCTAGTGGAATGAATGGTGAGCGATACCCAAGCCACTGAGGAATGCAAAGAGAGAAACAAGATGCTGCAATCTTTTGAGAGATTGTTCTATTTCCTTGATTGCTACGGCTTCTGTAGAGCAGCCACACCAGAACGGACACGTCTTAAATAGTTTGTGTTAACGAGGAAAGCTTGAAAAAAAAGCAAGTTGCCATGAACACCAACTAACTTGCGTTTCATGTAGCTGCGGTGTTCCCATGGGGTCGTCTCAGGATCGAAAATTTCCACCGAAGTACAGTACTGGCTGCTTTCGTAGTCTGCCGGCGTGCCAGCCGAGGCGGTAGTTAAGATTGTTTGAGTGGGAGCAAGATCTGCAGGAGACGGGTTACTGTAGTGGCGGGAATGTGGGGCAGTTTGAATGGATGTTTTGAGACGGTCTGAATTAGCGGTTCAGCCTCCATCGTTCATTTATAGTGCGGAGGCTTTAGACAAGTGCATCTACGGTCTCTGCACTCCACACTCCTCCTTACAGGCTCCATTGAGAATATGGCATCAGTTTACGTCAAAATAACAGTCGATTTTTGACATTTTCCCATGTTTGGAGGAATTTTTCTCCGGATCCTGAGGAGGCGGAAATGAGGCAATATACTATCGTAGACTACTCTTTGTATTCTGCGAGGCTCTTGCGGTACACCTTGTCAAAGATCAACAGTTCTCTCTTGGTATGGCTCCAAACTTCGCTTGCCGTCACGCCCAGATTATAAAATTATGCTTTTTGCCTTTGCCGCTTAACTTTTTGCAATAAATTGTATACTGTTAGATTCTCCGATGAAAAGTGCTATCTAATGACATATAGGGCTACGCGTGATGAAAACCTTCCTTCAGAGTGATTTTATGCCATGCGTCCCTCCAAAAATAGTGTGCTCCAATGCTAACGCATCTCAATCAACATCAAAAAAAGAATGCAATGCGCAAGGAGGTTCAGAGTGAAGTATTCTATTGGCTGAAGATCCCCTTGAAGAAAGACCGTCAAGCTCTATGAGCAGATACCGTAAAGAACAGAAAATGCTTCGTTCTAGTCGGCGTTCATCTGTAATTCACGTGATGATGTCGACAACACCATTTCACTCGTGCTGAACAAACTGAGGGCTAGCCGGCCGGCAGACCAGCAGATCCAATCCCCCATTCAAATAATTACCATTCGAAAGCCTCCCAATTCCCGCCACTACAGTACCCGGCCGCATGCGTATTCAAACACGCCCTGCAAGAAACTGCTCAGGGACAGGCCTGCTGCAGAAAGTGGTTGTGGAGGGAGGTTTTCGGCACGGGTTGACCTATATATCATTCGGTAGCATTTTTCACGGAGATTCCAACAGTTTATAGTTTATAACTCAGCTCCAAAAAGATAAACGGAAAGGGAAAAACATTCGGGACTTGACGAATATTGAAATTTGGGGCCATATATAGGGAGAAGTTTTGATCTTTGGTAGAGTGTACCATAACAGTCTTGCAGACAACAAAGAGATGTCTACGATAGTGGAGTATCTCAACGATATACTTCAGATTCCGTAGAAAAATTCCTCCGAAAATGAGAAAATGCCAAAAAAAATCGACTCCGTCATTTTGCCATACCTTGATGTCATATTCTCAGCGAAGCCTGTTAAGCGGAATGTTGAGTGCAGAGACCGTAGATGCGGTCATCTACAGCCTCCGACTCAAAAAAGGAACGATGGAGACTGAACAAAACCATCCAATTATTTCCACATTGTACTAAATAAAGTCGAGTACGTGGCGCAATCCAAAGCAAATTCTGAATACATCTTCTTCAAGGACAAATCATCCTCTACAAGTACTAAAGCGTGCACTCCATGTACATGCAATCACTTTTCGGATGGAACTCAAGTGCATGGCGCAATCCAAAATAAAGCATTTTTATTATTTCAAGGTACCATCTTGAAAATCTGAGTTCAACGGTATTTTTTCTTCTTGATTATTCTATTTCGAAGCAATTCATAAAGAAAAGACGAGAAAGACGCGAATTCGCGATATTCGCGTGAATTTTTGAGTTCTCACGGCGAGTACTGTACGACCATATCCACCCATAACATAAAGCTTTCCATTCACTGCACCCACTCCCACCAGAAAAGGACACGATTTCTCATCAACAAGAAGAGATCACGAGAGTAGAGAAATACAGCTGTCTTACACATTTTCGCCTACTGCTCATATCAGCCACTAGAGTCCACTTATTAGCACGGTGGTCGAACTTCTCAACAGCGCTCAGTTCGTCCGAATATTCTTTGCATCCACCCACTCCATACAATTCGCTATGGGGCACTGCAGATCCATGGCTACGTCGAGTTTTTGAGATTGGACAAGCTTCTTCCCATTTACCAACTCGTGGGTCAAATCTGAAACATGAGAGGCCATTTTGAATCTGTTTAAAACACATTTTGACGTGTATTGACGATTGACGGAAGATTTCATACATCCCAAAACAACGTTGATTGAGCTATTAGGTTAAAGCATGCATTCTTCACCTGACTTTTTGTAAATATCTCAATAGCGTACCAGCCTCTCTATGAGAGATATGCAGCATCACTATGCACTGCTCGACGACAACGCTCAGGCAGCTTGCCGATCTCATCTTCCCAGAAAGACGGGGGCTGAGACTTGAAGAATTCGCCGAGCGTCATACTGACCTTATCCTCTGTGTCAAACTTGCGAAAATTGCGTGGCATTGTCGCCTGCATATGAAAGTTGCTACGGATATCCTTCACTAAGGGTTTCCTTTCACTGGAGGACTCCAACCGGTTAGCGACGAGGCTACGTAGGACGTACTCAGCTGGCGGATAAGGGAATAATCACCGACCATAAGTCGCCAGTACTTGCCCAGTGACGCAGGTGCATTCAAGGAGTGGACTCCCCTATTTCGCTGTGCAGGTCGATATACAATATCTTCTGTTTCTCGCTGGCGTATCCACGCATACGTGTGTGGAGAGTCTATGGGTGCAGTCGGCATCCTGTCCATCGACTCGGGCGAAAGCTTGCATTCGAGTGACTAGGAAGTATCTCGGAGATTGGGAGCCCCCTCCAAAAGCCCTTCGTTCAAGCTCCGGGATAGCCTGGCTAGCTCCAAGAGTCAAACCACCCCCACGTCAGAGCCTGGCAAGCTACACGTTGGGCATCAACTCGCCAAAAACAGTCACTTGAATGGGCCTCATTCTCCCCAACCTGAGGGAGCCGCCAATACGGCAGCGTCTCAGGTCCAAAACAGGTTGCCTAAAATTATAATAGAAGGACTACGATGGCGATCTGTACATTCAACGCACGGACGCTTGCATCGGAAGCGTGTATAGAAGACTTGATGATGCAAGCTAACAAGATTAAGAACGTCGTCATCGGACTGACCCTGCACGCTGCATCTGAGACTGGGAAACAACTGTTCCTTGGAACATGCGGCAGCAGAGACGTCGGTGGCGCAGGTGCCCTCGTCAATACGTGCGACCATGAACATCGATTAAAGCTTAACAACCCGAATCAGACGTTTGCGATTAAGAAGATGTGGCTCAGCCTTGTTACAAACATTAAACGTGCAAAAGTTTCGTAATTTGAATTGCTGGAACATATAATAATAGGAAATGAGGAATACATAAGTTGGTGGAATCGCTAATAAAAGTTAAAAGGCCTTACTTTTTGGAATTCAAGATTCATGACAAATAAAAACGACCATAGGTGCATTTTAAGCCTGTCATGTTCCCATGGTATGAAATAAAGTTTTTACGGAACTTTTCGTATTTAAGGGAGCTCGATGAGAGCGCAAACATGTGTTCTCAAAGTTTTTGCTTCCCATTCTGAAATCTAAATCAAACTCAGTTCTTTTCACGTCTTACAGCATTGAATGGTTTTAAGGTCGTATCTGCTGCAGCGCAACTATTCGCTGAAGGAGACCTCCATCTTCAATAAAAATGCAGGTAAGACGTAAGCACCATCACGCACCAGTATCCCAAATCTCAACATGCGGAGCCACAGAAAAACCCCCTCTTTCAAATTCGTTCCATGAGAGAAAACCGTGAGTTTTGAGTATGCATGAGGGCTGTTCTAATAACCTCTTACCCGCTTACCGTGATGCACATAGAGCAAGACATCCATTCGTCATACAATTGAAGGCTCTCTGAGCGAAGGCTCTTGTTTCGTAATTTGATGCTATCGCAGTTTCTGCTCAAAGGCACAGATCGCGATATAAATGGTTGCTGAGATTCTCCTATAGTATGAATTCGAGACTCCCCAATATACCATACGTGTCGTTATAAAATCGGAAAACGTCGTGGATAGGGCACAATAAGGGGTCAGACATTGTATCTGTGAATCCCACACCCCTCGTGGACGAGTTTCAACGGCTTTCTAGGAGCTGCACTACCTCAAGAGACTCCCATGTAGAAAGTTCAAAGAACTTGACGTAACCGGACGGAAAGAAAGTGCAAAGCAATTTCGGACGATGTCGGCTTGATGTAGCCATCTCTTTGAGCAATGGGAGCAAGTTAAATCTCGTCCAAACATCCCTCACATGCTGTTACTGGTGATCTCCTACAACTTCCACTTTCACTACTTTTGAAGAGCCTCGGAGTGGGAGAAGTTTCTCGATTTCTTCGCAGCCGATAAACTCCTTTACATCAACACTTCCACTTTTCTACCCAAAAAGTACACCTCAGGATTAAGATAAGGAATTTAAAGAATTAGTGAATAAATGAAATTTCTGCTTTAATCCACACAACCAGATCTGCATGTTCGTCGCTCCTTCTGCAAGCTAACCTCTTGACTCTAACAGCGTAGTGGACGTCTTTCTCCGTCGTTTTCCTAAAGCCGCTATGCAGATATACCGAGCCATGGTGAATCCAAATTGGTGCCATCATTCAGCGAAACAATTTCTAGTTTCGGGTAGTCTGTGGTTACTATTATTATTATTATTTTTACACACAAAGTACACCATCAGCAAACATAATAGGGATACAATACGGAGCTCGACAACGCAGGAAATTTAGAAAATCCCATCGTCGTATGTAATCACAACTTTACAAATTAAATGGAACCCATGTGGTTAAGGTGCTTCCCATTACACATACTGGACGTCATATTTGCATATTAATAACATCGAAGTGAGAGGAAATAATGAGATAGATTAATCGTAGCAAACCATGGCTGCTAACTGTTCATGTTGTGCTTGTTTAGGTCCTTTTGTTGGTGGCCTGCTTCAGCGCTCTACTCTGCGCATATGCGCATGCGTTCTTTACCGATCTAGGTAAGAAATTCCGAATGCTGCGCGTTGAATACCAAAAATAACTTCTTCAGAATGTGCCAGCTATCCCGCGCTGGTCACTGATGCGGATTATGTGAGGTTTGCCGAAGGTTGTGCTGGAAAAGAAGTCCTCGGATTCAAGTTTCAACAAGAATTCCACGCAATCAGGATCACTGAACCTCTGTTCAATGGACTCTTTGCNAATGCTCGCAGAATCAACTTCCACATTTATGTCCAGAACACAGAGTTTAGGCATCTAGAACTACCCAGTGTGGAATATATACCAGGTGGGCTGACACAACTATCTCATCCAACCCTACGACTAAATATCGCGACAAGCGGGCGTTAGTCATCGAATCATTGGAGCGCCATAGCATCAGTATCCCTAACCTCTAGGAAACTGGGTAGTAGAGAAGATCTTCTACGCAAGGAGAACACAAAGCAGATCATTAGTCATACCTCTATCTTGAAGTATCGCTCAAAATTCCGAGAATGGAAGCATCATAAGAACAACGTATACTGGTTGGCAAGCTACTCTCTGCTTTCACAGTCCGCGAGCGAGCAGGCCGGGGGACTACTCGCCTGGCGGCATCGACCAAGATTCAATTGTAAAGCGAACGACCAGGGACAAGTGCCGCCCCTGGTCGTTCGCTCGCTCACTCGCTTGCTCGCGGGCCAAATCGCGGACTATGAAAGGTGCCACTGTGGACCATAGCGAGAAAATATGTGAGCTGAGTAGGAAAGGCAAGGACTACGAATTACGCAGTAGGAACTATTTTTTCATAGAGAGAAATGGCCCGCCTGATGCCTATGAGGGGGACTCACAGGAAAAGTCATTAGGTAGTTGAACAGAAAACAGTTGAGCTGTGTTGATAAGAACAACTTTTCAAAGCTCACTATGAGAATTAATTTGGCATTGTTTTTATCATAAAAGACTAGTTTCAGGGCTCACAATAAGGAATAATGCACTACTGGAACGGTTCCGTATTTTGAGACGCTATCAGTTCGACAGAACTGTTTTCGGGCCAACAGTTGTTACAGTGGATGGCAATAAGATGTTGGACGACGAGAGCATGGGCTGTCTGCGGTATCTCTGCTCATACTGTGATATCTTTAAGTGGTCAAGTAAGTCCTTTTGAATTTATCCGGGAATTCTGGAGACAAAAGTGGTATTTCCTAAAGCGTGGAAGTAGTATGATCCGATTGCTGGGCAACAAAAATGCTCCGTTGGGAGCTCTGTTGTTTTAAGTTACAGCAGCCTCGAGAGCACTTCTGTTTTCCCACCAGACTAACCATAAGTCGCACTGAGAAATCTACTACGTTACACTAAGATAAATATTTCGACACATCAGAAAAAGGCTTCAAGCAAGGAGACCAGGGGGCGGACCATTCACCGAACTCCCGATGGACGCAGCAAAATGCGCTGCGAAATTCGTGGTAATTTAAGCGATTCCGACTACAGCTTCATTAGGGCACAGGTTCCAAGAAAGGTCCATTAGTAGGATCAGCTGACCCTACTAAACTATCTTACTTCGAATTTGTGCCCCAATGATAGGCGGTAGAGTCGTTCAAATCGCCAGGAATCTTGCCGCGCTTTGCCTCGTACACCTACAAATGGGCGGATGGTCTGTCCCCGAGTAGATGTTAGAAACGCCGGATTCCTCAATTTTCTTCTTTTAACAAAAATATTTTTTGTTATTACAATGCACATACTTTTTCTTGCTGTACATCCATTGTTTTCCAGAGTGCAGTGCGCTCGAGCCGGTCTCACCTTTCAACTATGGTCGACTTGTTGAACAATGTCGAGGAGAAAGGCTCATCAAAGCACGACCCTACAGTCACTTCATATTGCACCTGCGTTATATGACTTATGAGCAGTTCAGAGCCCTTTTTGCCAGAGCCCTTTTTGCTGAGGCCACTCACATTCAGTTGGGCTTCAGAATGATTCGTGTGCCTTGGACTACGATAGAATTTCCGAAACTCGTCCGATTAATCCCCGTTTTTTCAGGTATCAATTTTCATCACTAAGATACAGTGATAGTACTATAGCTGACACATTGCTCGGGTCTAGGGAGTAGGGATGAAACGCCAAAGCATAGTTCATGATTTTTCATGATTTCCTTATCTTCCACGTTGGGTCCAGTATTTATAGGGAGAACCCCCTCGCAATGAGTCGCACTAGCATCCTAGAGACGGGTGTGATTGAAGAAGTTTAAGCTAACTGCTTACTGTTCGTAATTTCAGGGGTACGCACTATCGTCGCCAGAAATAATCCGTATCTGAGGATAATATCCTTCCCTCTCTACCATTCTGAAGGTTTTGGAGCACTCAATTATATGGAATATGTTGAAATTGTAAGGAATCGTAGGCTCAAGTATGAAGTCATCTCTTCGTTGGAGCCCCGCTGTAGATTCTGCTATCTTCAACCGTATGACGGTGAATCTTTACCTTTCTTTATTTCTTATTTCTGTCATCTACCGCTTGATGTAGAGAAAAGGCTGATTCCACACCACCTACAGGGACAAATTGAGACCACTCAACTTATTTCATACCATTTAAAGAGACTAGAAAATGGGGCAATGTTAACTTCTAATTTGGAGTGTACCATGTTCAGCGACGTCTCTATAGGAGTTAAGGGCTTCCATATCGTCCTAGAACCAGGCCTCCGAGCAATGAGCTCATTGTGATGTAATTGAAACCCTACCACTCGCACTACCTGGTGTTTTTACTTTTCGAATCTAAGGCCCTAAGCCGTTAAGATACTAGTTAT